AGCCCTCCTTTTTCTCTAATTTTGGTCTGTGAAGTTAGGTTGTTAACCATCCAGAAGATAAGAACATGGTTATTGTTATTACCATGCAACTTAGGCTGTTAAGCTTAACCTCACTATCTGTCTGAATATCAAACATCTTAGGCAAATGCTGAACTATTAAACATGAATAAAAATATATTTGTTGGGGCCAGGGAGAAGGCTCAATAGAGTAAGTATTTGCCTGGCAAAAACAAGGGCCTGAGTTCAATCCCTGGTTCAGCCAAAAGAAAAACCAAAACCATGTTTGTTGAAATTGTTTTCATTGATTAGTGCTACGACAGATTGATGTGGTGACCATCAGGAGCACAACTACAGTGTTTAATGTAACAGCCTTTAAGTCATGGAGAAGTCTAGGCCAGGAACTTGAATCCATATTGTTTATTTGTTGTATGGCCTAGTAATCTCATATTTTCTAAGTCAAATAAAACATTCAAATTTACTCATTATTTATGTCTATGAAAATTTTGTCTATGTCTACTTAAAAATTTTAACCATATTAATAAAATAAACTAGGTAAAATATCAGCACTCATCACATTCTCTTATGAAAATAATGAAAGATTGATCTTTTCTTTAAACATTAATTTACAGTTTTTGGCAGTAATAATAGAATCTGAAGAGAGTGACTCTGACATATGGGTATTGTTCAGTTTCAGTAGATATTAGATGCCAGATTTTAAAAATCCAATTTTATGCCATAGAGATCTAATTTTTTTCATGGTACAATTAGATGGTTACTAATTTTAGGTCATATCTATTCTTTTTTTTGTGAACTCAGGCCCTTGCACTCGCCAGGGAAATGCTTATTCCACTGAGCCATCTCTCCTACCCCAGGTCATATTTATTCTGTTCCCTTTCACAACTACTCATATTTTAATGAGAGAATATCATTTACTTATTTTATTGTTATTTTTAATGTATTTGGTACAAGGTCTGACTACAAAGCTTAAACTTATAATGATTCTCCTGTTTTCAGCCTCCCCAGCATTGGGAATACAGGCATGTGCCACCATGGTTGGTGGCCAGGTCAGTGTGCCTGTGGGCAGGGCTGGCAAGGCATGCGGTGCCAGGGATGGAACCTGGTCCCTGGGCTTGTTATCCCTAATAACATTTTATTTATTTATTTATTTATTTATTTATTTATTTATTCGTTTATTTATTTTCTGCAAAGCTTTCTTCCAGAGGGGCTCAGTCCTTTTTGGCAGCTGCCTTCCTCATGGCGGTCAGCACATTTCTCAGCTCCTCATACTTCCTCTTGGCGGATGTGTTTCCCCACCCTTTTCTTGATGAACTTGAGGGCACATTTGTCCTTGGAGACCCTGAGCAGCGCCATGGTGTGCCGCTCATGGAGGGTGAAGCAGCACATGTCCTGGATGATGTCCCGCATGAACTTGGTGTGTTTGGTGAGGTATCTGCGATGGCAGTTGTGCCTTGGTTTGCTCACATTTTTAGTTACTTGTGGCCCTTGTTGAGGCCCATGGCCACGGAATACTGGAGGGCCATGGCCACTGTTCTTGGATGGTTGCTGTGGTGGAAGCAACGTTTATTTTTAAATCTGTAGTAATACAATCATGAATTATTCAATCCATTACACTACTCAACCTTATTCATAAAATGTATACAAAGACTAGTTATCATATTCAGTTGTCTAATCAATATGATACAAGAAACAGAAAGGTTTGTGTTATTAAATAATTGATCTTATGAACCTTCAAGTAATAATGAGGATACTACAGTCAATATGGTTAGTCTTCCAAGCACTATATTGTTGGGCAGTTAGTACCACCTCTAATTGGGACCAATCTAAAATTGGTTCATGGGAAATAAATGAGAAGATGCTATAACGTATTTATTAATGTCAATCAGCTAGAAGATATTTCTACTAGTTGGCTTTGACAAGATGTGGATTTCATTCCATGAAGATTTCTGGGAAAACTTAAGTCTCCTGGCTCTATAAAACAAATTGTAGGAGTGCAGCTGTTGGAATCCAAGGACATCTGGACCCTCCCCAGGTGTTTTAAAATTGGTGCTGTAGAAATTCTTGTGGTGACTTTCTGGATCTAAGCCTAAAGATTTCAAGTTAATAATTTTCTTTAGTTAACAGATGAGTTTTTCCAATAGGAATCTTGGGTTTTGCCCACTTGTTAAAAATTAGACCTTCCACTGTATTTCAGTTGGAGGGAGAGAAAATAAATAACGTATTTTTGGCAGTGTGTGGCTTTTGTGATGCTGTTGAGCTCATGTCTCACATACACCTTAGAGTAAAATATGGCATTTTCTAAGGAGACAAATCAACTTTGTGCCTTCCCCAGCACTATATCTGGAAATTGGGATGTTTCACCCTAAATGAACTTGTGAAAAAGTCATGTGACTGACGAGCTATGGAACTTCGCTGCCTCTTACCGAGAGACACTCAGTGATAGTCTCTGAGATGATCAGTAAGTGTATCAGTGTTTTACTAGAGGAACAGATATAACACAAGATATACAAGTGTGTAAGAAATTACAAGATTGGCTTATGATGGTCACCCACAGAATTCGATGAGGAAGCATGCAGAGGGCGTCTGCACACTGAAGGATTCAGTGCAAGATCTGGAGCTCACTGTCATATCCTATGCTAGTCCATATCAGGAGGCTATTGGGTCATGATGGATGGCGAAAGTCTGCTATGGAAGGTAAAGAATCTGCACTGGAAGCCAGGAGATGACATCCACGCTGAAGATGAAGACTGGAGCTTCTCTATAAAACAAAAGCAGAACTGTCCTTCCTCATTTTCTTTTTGTATTATCCAGGAGATAAACTTCCCTGCCATGGATCTTCTATTCCCTAGAGTGTAGAATTGCTAAACCAATTTGTTTATTTTTATTTTATTTTATTTTTGCAGATCTGGGGATTGAACTCAGGTCCTTGCACTTGCCAGGGAAGCTCTTATTCTACTGAGCCATCTCCCCAACCCTGCTGAACCAATTTAGTTAAGCTTCTCTTAACTAAACTTCTCAAGTTAATGCACTCAGTCAACTATTACAGAGATTCTGTTACATGTCTAGGAAATGAGATTGTTCACAGTGTTTCACTTTTGGAATCTTCTGCTTCCTTAAAGTCCAGTAAGAGAAGAAGCATTCTGTGGAAATGATGTGGAACTGGTAGTCAGAATACATAGTTCAAATCCTGGATTTGCCTTTTACTAGTTACTTGGCCTTCGGCAATATCCCAAATATCTTAAGGTCTTAGTTTTCTAATTCGTAAAAGGGAAATAATTATATATACAATGTAGGATTGTAATAAGGTTCAAATTCTCTATCTAGCACAGTACATTGTGTATACGAGGCATACAATGAATGTTAGCTGTTATTCAGTGACTCACCTCATGGGACTGCTGACCTGTAAAATCCATAGCAATAATTGTTGACAAATGTTCCGGAGTACAGTATGCTTTCATCTTCATTGTCTCATTTCAGACAGCAGAAAAGAAGGGTTAGAGTAATTGAGAAATATGACAGAGTTAAAATAAAAAGTAGCAAAGTCCATATTTTACAACAAAGCACTGCCTCTCAGAAATATATTTCTCTTGCAAATGCCCAGGAATATTATTTTCACTAGTCATTGGCACTTGTTACCCATTGCCTTCTAAAGCAATTTCTTTTATGGATCTATGTGCTTTTCCTCCAGTGAGTTAGCTATGAGCACTATGGTTTATGAATTTCTATAGCTCTCCTAGTATCCTAGCTTAGTGACCATTCTGAGAAAACACTCAATAAAATTGCATCGATTTATCAGTGGGTGTTCTTTCATTGTAAACAAGCAGATGATTCTGGAAGGTCTGAGTGAGAGGAAACTTATTGAAAGGCTTTTTATG